ACTCTAGCCCGGGCAACAGAGCCAGACTCTGTCTCAAAAAAAAAAAGAACACTCATTTTGTGATCCTACAGAGCACACATCTCTTCAAAGCAGCACGTTTAGCCATCTAGAATCACAAAGGAGAAAAAAGAATGAGTATGTTTGGTATAAGTTACTACTGTGAGAGAATCCTGCTAGAAAACAAACATTCCCTTTCAAACTACCTCAATGAGCTTTCTAAACTAGTAATTCCTGAAAACTGACTACACCGAAATCACTCGAGAAATGAATTAGTTTACTCAGAAAATGTAGCACCATACCACCCTGAACACACCCAATCTCATCTGACTGGGTGCTAAGCAGGGTAAGGCCTGGTTAGTAATCTAATTGGAGAAAAGGTCACCTCAAATGACTTCTTATAAACCACAGAATCCAAGGTAATGAAAAACATACTATTCCAGGAATGAAAGCCCAAAAGTCAAGGCTAGAAATTCGTTACTCCTGCCACTATCTACAGTACTTCTACATAAACTATTATGAAGTAGTAAGAGACAGAAGTCAGCAAGCAAAATTTTAAAAAACCAAAACTAGGCCAGGCCCCGTGGCTCGCAGCTATAATCCCAGTACATCCCAACACTTTGGGAGGCTGAGGATGGAGAATCACTTAAGGCCAGGAGTTCGAGATCAGCCTGACCAACATTCTCTACAAAAAATTTAAAAATTAGCCAGGGGGCTGTTCATGAAATAAAATAACATAAAATAAAAATTAGCCACATGTGGTGTTACACGCCTATAGGCTTAGTTACTCAGGAAGCTGAGGTGAGAGGATCACTTGAACCCAGGAGATAGAGGCTGCATGAGCTAGGATGATGCCACCGCATCCTAGCCTAGGAGACAGAGCAAGACCCTGTCACTTAAAAAAAAAAAAAACTGAACTCAAAACCATGAGATGTAGAAATATGAGACTTTGGAATGACAACCTTTTTATGTTTCTACAACTTCTAAGGTGATCATGGCGGGATTAAGTGAAGAGCAGAACCTTAGTAAGATGTAATTAGGACAATTACTTACTTCTGGGTTTCTAAATCGATTCTTCTTAGGCAAGACTTTGGTTTCATGAAAAATACCTTTTTATTTTTCTTAAAAAAATTCACAAAGAAATGATAAACGTTTACGGTGATGGATATAATTACCCTGATTTGATCATTAAACAATGTGTATATGTGTCAAAGTATTTTGTACCCCATAAATATGTATAATCATAATCTAAAAATAAAACTTTAAGAAAATCCATAAATACAGAATTCTGCAAAGTAAGTACAAGTGCAATCACCTCATTATTCCTGAGTTTTAGGCCAACACCTATTCACATACATTTTCTCTTCTCTGGTCTGAGTATTTTTCAACTTATCTCCCACTTTCCCATGTGCAAATGTTCTATTTTCTCCCCTACACTTTGTCATGTGTAGAATTTGGTGTTCAAAATTTTTCAAAATTATAAAGCTTCTAAAAAAGAAACAAATCCTTGGCCAGGTGCAGTGGCTCACACCTGTAATCCTAGCACTCTGGGAGGCCCAGGCGGGAGGATCCCTCAAGGTCAGGAGTTCGAAACCAGCCTGAGCAAGAGTGAGATCCCGTCTCTACTAAAAATAGAAAGAAATTAGCCAAATAACTAATATAGAAGAAATTAGCTGGGCATGGTGGCACATGCCTGTAGTCCCAGCTACTCGGGAGGCTGAGGCAGAAGGATCACTTGAGCCCAGGAGTTTGAGGTTG